GAGGACGTAATGGGCAACCAGTGCAACTCCCTAAATTAACAGTAAAAACCACCTACAGGATGATCAGGCCCTGGGTGGATGTTCAGACAGAGGTAGGAGACAAATGGCAGAAACACCTTGGTCTACATAGGGACCAAGTTAGAGGACTGAAATGGTTCAGAGGGGCGAAAGAAAGACCGACAAAATTTGCCTCCCTACAGTGGCAAATCAGTCACAGGTGCCTCCCCACCAACAACTGGATCATCGACAGGACGAACCTAGAACAGAGAGGGGAGGCTCTCCCATGGTGCAAATCCTGTAACGCAAGGTTCCTGGGATGTAGAATATGTGAAACAATAGAGCATATCTTTCTACAATGCCCTGGGGCAGTCCTGTTGTGGCGGTGATGGGACCGCATCTAGACACAACTGGGCACTGGCGAGGAGTGGCCATGGAAATGGGAAGCTCTTCTCTTAGGAGAATGGGGAAGGCCACATGCATCCCGCCTAGCCAGCAACCTTTTCTCCATAACCAGAAAGGCGTTGATCTGGACGTTACGATAAGAAGGTGTGTCTTTGACCAAGAATGGGGTAGGATGGGGGAAGGGGCAGCGAAAGACACAGTGAAACAGTTTATTGAGACATAAATAAGAATGCAATCGAAAAAAGTTCTGCGCAGAATGGCTGGGAGGGGGAAGGGGGGGCAGGATGGCCCACGTAGACTGGCCAGGGGAAATGAGGGACGAGGAGGGGCATGAGGACTTCACCAAGGACTACAAGCTCAGGTTCCACGATTGGCTCCATGTCGACCCCAACATTGTGATGAAGAGCACCGAGGAATTTCTAAAGATGTTTCCCCCGGCGGCCACGACAATCGTAGAAAGGCAATGGTACGGGCATCAGTAAGGGCAACATTAAGGAGGTCGGTCTGCTCGTTGGGTGTTGGACACCTGCACTTAGCAGATTATGAAGGCAACAGTCATACATGAGTAGGCAATGTCTGTTTCTACAGGGATGCAGGTAACAGTAAGGAGGTAGGTTGGCTCGTAGGGGAAAGATACCTGCTCTTAGCAGATTATGAAGGTAACAGTCATACATGTGAAGGAAAAGTTTGTTTGTCTCTATAGGGATGTTGGACCGACCCCTATTGGGGGGAAGGAGGAACTAGTGTGCAATGCAGGTAACTGGCACCGGCTCCAGGGTGAAGAGGTTCCCGCCCCCCTCCAAACACAGACGGAAGACAGACAGAACAGCTCACATAATGTGCAGGCTCAAAGGTTGTGGTAACATAGACAACCGGGACTGCACACAATCACTAATAGAACACAAATAGAACAGGGGGCATGTTGAGGGTTTAAGGGTTTAAAGGGACAGACACAACGATAATCAAATAGGGGGACTGCTGAAATAGGGCTGGGCTCAGGGATAAGGGGTGCTCCAACAAGAGGATGGGTGACATTAGCAGTTCCATGGGATAAAGGAGCGCCCCGGGATGAGTCAACAAGGAGCACAACCCCAGGAAAACAACAATCACCAATCTATGTGCCACAAGATGTATCAATGGGACGCTGGACCCGGTTTCCAGCAGGTGCCGCTCCCCACCAATAAATGGAGCAGCCCGACAGATAAACCCTCAATCTTGACGGTTCTCTTACCACCGCCAGGATAGAGGGATATCACAAGGGCTATTCCAAAAAAAAA